CCCAGCAAGAGAGAGCTACTGTTCTTATGCAAACAATCTAGCTTGATGTCAGTTCATGGTTGATTTTGTGCAAAATTGCCTTTCCTCTGGAGGAACAGGTCCTTGAATTAGGAATGGAATGGAATAGAACAGAACAGAACAGAATAGAATAGTTGGAAGGGACTTTGGAGGTCTTCTAGTCCTACCCCGTGCCTTGGCACCACTTCAGACAAACAGTTATCCAACATCTTTTTAAAAACTTCCAGTGTTGGAGCATTCACAACTTCTGGAGGCAAGTTGTTCCACTAATTAATTGTTCTAACTGTCAGGAAATTTCTTAGTTCTAAGTTGCTTCTGTCCTTGACTGGTTTCCTTCCATTGCTTCTTGTCCTGCCCTCAAGTGCTTTGGAACACTGCTATCATGTCTCCCCTAATCCTTCTTTTCATTAGACTAGACATATCCAGTTCCTGCAACCGTTCTTCATGTTTTAGCCTAATACAGGTTCACCTACATTAGAGCAGCAGGTCAAGGCCATGGCCTGTAGAGCTTTTACTCAACTATGGCTGTTGTGGTAATTACAGTCCTTCTTGGACTAGACACACTTATGGTGTTTAGGAATTCAGTGTACCATCATATCCCCACAGTCACATGATCACAATTCAAATGCTTGGCAACCAGCTTGCATTTACAACCAGTGACAGCATCCTGCAGTCACATGATCAAGATTTACAATCATTTTTTTAGATTTTCACCAAATAACATACATTAGAAAAACAGATTTTGTTTAACAACCATGTTATTTACTTAATGACCATTGTAAAAAAATGTTGTAAAAGCTTGATTTAGGACTGCAATGATTCATGATGGAAATTTCAGTCTGCATTGTGGTTGGAAGTCAAGGCCTACCTATAGATACACTTAAGACTCCCCTTCTTACATAAGAAATAAGAATGTGGGCCCAGAGAAAGAATATAGACATCTACTGGGAGACTAGTGGTCTTCCTTATGCAGTTGGTTGGCCACTGTGAGAACATATTGTCAGATTAGATGGGGCAAGGATTCAATCCAAGAGGCACTGCTTATGTTCTCATGATATGTTTCATTCATGCCCCTAATAGTATGAAATAGCCGACCTCCTGAAGTACTGGGTATTTGCAAAGTTATCAACTTTAGTTTATTCAGATAATCTTTGGAAACTAATGGATCTGGGTTGCTTTTATTATTATAATTTGGCTCTTGATTTTGATTTTAAAGTATGATGCATTTTATACAGAGGCTTAGAAGGATGAGTTTTGTGTTGTGTTTTAATAGATGTTATTGCTGCAAGCCTCTGTGAGTCAGATGATTTGATAGTACACAAATGTATGTAATAAATAATAAGTAAATATTATGGCCTTTCTTTCTTTTTCAGTGCCGCTGATGTTGGAAAAGGAGGAGAAGGACCCTGCTATTAATGCCAGTTCCAGTAGCCTTATCTTAATATCTAGTCTATGTCTGACTGCAGAGCAGTTTGAGAGGACATGGCTGAACCTGGCTGTTGGCTGCCAGCAGGCCATTCCTTGGCAGGAATCCGTGCAGCCAGAGACTTTGCAGGCTGCCCTGCAGATAGTCCATATTCAGACTATTGCAATGAGCAAGCCTGGTTCACAGTCATGGAAAGTCTACTTAGGGGCACAGGATGGCACAGGCTGCCTTTTCCTAACTGAGCTGCTGTTGGAGACAGGAAGTGCAGAGATGCAGATGTTAGTGAAGCAGACTGAAAACAATCTAGAAGCCCTGCAGGCATTTGTCTCACTCTTGAAGACAGTTCTGGAGACAGTGGCAGGCCTGACATCCTGATTTTTTTTCTAATTTATGGGATTGGTCATAACCAGGAAGAGACAGCAATTTTGTATATGGCTTATTTATTGTATTCTTTAGATCAGGGATCCCCAACCTTTTCGACGCCGCGGCCCGGTTCCGGCGTCAGCTGGGCGCCGCGGCCCGGTTCCGGCGTCAGCTGGGCGCCGCCATCTTTTTTTGACGAAAAATCACTTCCGGTGACGTCACCGGAAGTGATTTTTCGTCAAAAAAAATGGCGGCGCCCAGCAACCAGCGGCCCGGTAAGGCTTGTTCCGCGGCCCGGTACCGGTCCGCGGCCCGGCGGTTGGGGACCCCTGCTTTAGATGAAGCTGTAGGTCTTACAGATTGTCTGTAAAGGCTTTCTACAGCATAACTTTTACTGCAAATGAAAACTCTGTGTTTAGAAAAATATGCAGAGAAACCAACCACCCTCAAAAGGCCAAATATGAAGAACATGTCTATGGACAAACAAAGGGAAGTTTGCATTTATCTACAAAATTAAAGTGGGAGAGGTGAGATTTCAGGGTGATGGTAAATTAAAGGAGCATTTGTGTGTCACTTAGCAATGTTCCCTTCTGACAGCCATGTATGGAAAGAACAGTTTTATGCAGCTTTTCCTAAACCAAGTACAAATTCTTTGCCACAATATGAGTATATGAGTAAATTGCAAATTAAAAATAGCAATTACAATTTTATTTCTGCTTAATTTCAATTTTATTTGCTTATTAAACTCATATGGCCACCTGTTTTAACTAGAACAATCTTAGGAGGCTCATAATAAAATCAGTAAAAACAACAATAAAATATTCATGTCACTCATACACAAAGGAGCACAATCCCTTTCCACTGCTCTCCAACTCATAATGGTAATCAATATTTTGTATGCATCTAAAATAGTTTCATTGGGTGGGGAAATTTGATATTGTAATAAAAGAAAAAAACTAAGGAAACAAATACATTATACATTACTCACTGGCCCATGTGTTCTCATTTCTTATCTTTGACTCTCATGATTAACCACTCCAAATCCTCTTTCTCTTTCACGAGTAATGTATCATCTGCATATCAGAGGTTGATACTCCTACCACTGATTTTAATCCCAATGGTAGATTCCTCCAAATGTGCATTTTCCATAACTATGTCTGTGTACATGTTGAATAGTATGGATGACAGGATGGAACCTTGTGTGCCTTTTTCAATTCTGAGCCATTTTGTCTCTCCATTCTTACAATGGCTGCCTGATCAGAGTGAATGAGCTGGATGTGGTGTGATATTCTCAGTTGTTTGAGGCAGTTCCAGAGCTTATTATGGTCAACACAATCAAAGGCATTTGCATAGTCAATAAATCACATACAGAGTGCTTTTTGGTGTTCCTGTGCTTTTTCCATTATCCAATATAGGATTGGTACATTTTCCTTTCCGAAATCATGCTTCTACATCAGGCTTTGTGTTCATGTTTTGGACCATGTTTGAGCAGCTGGTTATCTTGTTTGATGGACTAATTGGCCATTGCCTGGAAGTTTAGTCTGGGCTCTTGTTCATGCCTGGCTTTGTTTGGAAGCAACCCTCTGAACTCCTGTCCTGGCCGTTCCTGTGAATTCTACTTGTAAACCCTGAACTCTGACCATTTGACTGGCTGACAAACCTAATTGGAGGCTCCAAGCCTCAGGTTGGATTTTGGTTTCTCTTTCGAAACTACCCAGGCAAAGCCTTTATTTTTGAGACCATTATGTCATATGTTCATTTCCTTGTTATCTACTTGGTCTCGAGCCAATTGCTGTTCTAATGTAGCAGCTGTGGGTGAGCTGAAACCTGAAACAGAACCACTGGGCAAAAGACAAAATAAAGCTCTCTCTAAACCAACACGGATGTGTGGGTGAGTTGGGGCAGTACTGGTTCCACTTTCCACTATGGCTAATAGCTCCATTAAAACTGAAGTTGTTCTCAGTTCCACCATTGCTTCCCTGGAAATGCCTCTCAGAAGACAATGCTCAGAAGGCATTGAAGGCCTGTTTATAACCCTGGGCCGGAGGTCCTGAGAATGTGAAGGGCCTTGTTTCCTGGTTATGGTAACATCTATGAATTATAATATTTCTCAGCTGCTATAAGCACACTATGGCACAGTAGTTAGATTGCAGTACTGCAGGCTACTCCTGCTGACCGCTGGCTGCCAGCAGTTCAAGTCTCACTGGCTCAAGGTTGACTCAGCCTTCCACCCTTCCAAAGTTCGTAAAATGAGGACCCAGATTGTTGGGAGCAATATGCTGACTCTGTAAACCATTCAGAGCGGGCTGTAAAGCACTGTGAAGTGGTATATTAAGTCTCAGTGCTATTGCTATATCCATAAGCTCACTGGAGCTAGACAGCCAAAAAAATTAAATATATAATAACAAATATCTAGAAGTTCAGTCAGAAGGCAGTGCAGAGCCAAGCTTAGCCAAGCTTTAAAAACAATACAGGGTAAAACTGTTAGAAGTTAGATGGAGTAGTGTCAAGAAATAACAGAACTGTCTTTATAAAAATTTGAAAAAAAAGGCAGTAGCAAGCCAATAAAGCCTAAATGGATGGATACCTAAAGCTGTTAAGGGTCAAGATAACATTGAAGGGGACTTTATACTTGGAAAACCCAACTTCTCTTCAATGGGAGCAAATAATTGTGAAATATTATAAAGTTACAAACAGATGAGATTTACAGTATGCATCTAGAGTAACTGAAAGAATTGTTGAAAAAATAGAAACATGATGTAGTTGCTTAATGAGACATATTGCTGCTATTATAGCCACTTGGAAATGACTTGGAGTCCAAAGGTTATGCATACAATATCAAATATCAGATTCTACTTCCTTTTAGGCAACTGAGTCTTGAATAATAGAAGAGAAAGCATTTGGGGACTTGATATCGATTTCTGGTAATTAATGTTTCTTATTTATAATAGTTGGCAATATAGTAAAATCGCTATAGTATGGCTACCAAGGTTTCACAGGAAACATACATAATTTTACTTTGTAAATTATGTTTCCTGTTCTGAGAAGTATCTGCTGAATGTTATATATATTCTGACATGTAAATGAAGGAAGCTGCTGGAGGCTGTTAATGTTTGATCTCTTCTAGACAACAGAAGAAACTACTCTTGGAAAAATAAAGACAGAAACCTCTGTTTGAAATACATATCTGAACATGAACAATTAAATTATGTTTGAAGAACAGACAAAAGAAATTGCAGAAGGATTATTTACTACTATTTACTCAAGGAAGCAATATCCTCTCCAGTCTAGAAAAATGATTGTAATTGAAGGTAATGACTATTTTTTGGAAGAAAATTTGCAATGAGTGTGGGTGGGTGGCTGGCTTCGTATTTCCAAAATTTTGAAGTCAGGACCAGGAGCTGCATCTAACTTGGAGGAAAAAAATAAGTTTGTTACCATTGTATTTTTTGTTAGTTTCTATTTGTTGTAGTGCAAGGGCGTCAAACTCAAGTCCCACAAGCCAGATCTGGCCCACACAGCCGGCCTGGAAATAGCAAAAGTGCTATTTCCTGCAGTGCCTCTGCTAGCAAAAATGGAGCCCGGGAGGGGGGCCCTCCCATTTTTGGCCATGACGGCTTCCTGCAGCCCTCTGCCAGTGAAAATGGAGCTCAGGGGGGTTGTGTGTGGTCCCCTCAGGCTTTGTTTTTGTTGGCAGAGGGCTTCATGAGGCTGTCCAGGGTAAAAATGGGGTGCGGGAGCCACATGCAGTCCACCCGTGCTCTGGCAGGAAAAAAAACTAAAAACAAAACAAAAGGAGAAATGTTACCTCTTTTGCATTTGAGCATGCAAGAAATGAACAGGAAAGGAGAAAGGGAAAGGGGAAAGACAAAGAAAAAGAAGGAAAGATGGGAAGAGACCAAGGAAGGAAAAATAAGGAAAAAAGGGAAGGAAGAAGAAAGGAGAATGAAGAAGAAAGAAAAGGAAGGAAGGAAGGAAGGAAGATTATAATGAGTATGAGTGACGGTCTCAGGGAAGCACTTGGCCTTCGCACTTGGCCACACCCGTGACAGTCCCAGTCCTGTGTCATGCCCACCATGGTCACACACCCCGGCTCCCCTCCATGCCCCCCCCCAGCCTTCCAATGTCAAACACAACCCTGATGCAGCCCTCAATGTAATTGAATTTGACACCCCTGATGTAGTTCAAAGATGCTAGTGGAAACCACTAAGGGATTTTAACCCTTTGCCCTCTAATTGATCAGTTACATTTAAACAAAAGTTTAAAATTCAATAAAATTTTGAAACTGAATAGTTTTGTTTAAAAATCTACTGCCTATTAATTAAAACATTAGTTGATCTAATGTGTACTAAATTTTCAGGACATTGCTAATTCTCCTGCAAGAGCTACTATTTTCAGCAAGACTATGTTTGCCTCATTAGCTAGCATGACCATGGGTTGTGCTGCACAGGAAAGTGGGATTTATATCCAAGTACATATTTAAAACATTACATTGAGATGGTTGAGGATGGGACTTTAAGGAGGCAGTTTTTAAGATACAGGCAGGCCCTATAACAAAGTCAGTCCTCGAGTTTTCAAAATCCTGAATTGTCAGACTCCTGATTCAGTAGCAGGAAACATGCAATATACATGAATACCCTTCTTTATAATGGATGCAAATAGGAATACATGTAGGAAATAGAGCAATGGTGGCATTTTTGATAGCCATTTGGTCAATGATCTAATATCATGGCCACTGACATAAGACATAAAAGTGAGCAGAAGCAGTCCCCAGCTCAGAGGTGGTATTCAGCAGGTTCTGACCAGTTCTGGAGAACCGGTAGCGGACATTTTGAGTAGTTTGAGAACTGGCAAATGCCACCTCTGACTGGCCCCGCCCCCCATCTATTCTCTGCCTCCCATCCCGATCAGCTGGGTCTTCTTTGGTTGCCCTGCACAGGAGAACGGAGCTGGAAAGCAGGTTAGTGGGGTGGGAAGGGAATGGGGATTTTGCAGTATCCTTCCCCTGCCACGCCCACCAAGCCACGCCCACAGAACTGGTAGTAAAAAAATTTGAATCCGACCACTGCCCCAGCTCTAATAGTAACATAAGAATTGGCCTCCAAATTAAAACTAAAACTTTATTCTATGCAATCACTTGTGAAATCATTGTGTGAGGGATGCCAAATTCTGTTTCAGGCACATCAGTTGTGAAGCAAAATAATTTAGTCTGAGCATGCTGTTGCTATTTTGAGGTTTACAACCAAGTTACCCCCGTACAATATATCTCTTACTGCGATAACATCCATTAACTTTCCTCCACTTCTTTTATCTTTACAATTATGCAAGCTAGGCTGGCTGAGTGAGCTTCATAAGTAACTTTCTGTCAGCCTTCAAGATTTTCTCCCTTTGCTTTGCATCTTTCGGCTGTCATAAGTAACGGGGGGGAGGAGGGGGAGAATGATTATGGGAAGTGAGCTGGAGGTGTTACAAACCAGAACTGTATAAACTGGGGGGAGTACATTCTTGCTTAGGTTTCTATTCTATGCTTAGAATAGAAAAAAGCTTGGCCCTAAGTATGTTGGACCTTTCTCAGTTGAACGAATTGTAAACCCTGTGGCAGTCCAACTGAAATTACCAAAAACTCTTCGACGGATCCACCCTGTTTTCCACGTTCGTTTATTAAAACCTGAACATACTTCCAACTTGAGACCAACTCAGGTTGATCCTCCTGTACCATTGCTAATTGAAGGTGAACAACATTTTGAAGTTAAAGAAATTTTGGATTCTCAAAAACGAAGGGGTCGACTTCAGTATTTGGTTGCTTGGAAACATTTTCCTTCTTCCCAGGCTGAGTGGGTGAATGAGAAGAATGTTAGAGCTCCTACACTTATCAAGGCATTTCGTACTAAATATCCTGATAAACCCTAAGAAAATAAGTATGCTGCTGTTACCTGTATATTGTCTATTACCTATTATTTTTTCTTTTTTAGGACTAACGTCTCTTTTTAGGAGGGCCGAATGTCAGCCTTCAAGATTTTCTCCCTTTGCTTTGCATCTTTCGGCTGTCATAAGTAATGGGGGGAGGAGGGGGAGAATGATTATGGGAAGTGAGCTGGAGGTGTTACAAACCAGAACTGTATAAACTGGGGGAAATACATTCTTGCTTAGGTTTCTATTCTATGCTTAGGTTTCTATTCTATGCTATGCGCAGCTGCAACTCTTTATCAAACTATGTCAAGGTCAATGGACAGAAGCTTCATCACCACCTGGAGATGCCCACATGATGGTATACACAACTTTTAATTGGAGGAACCAATTGAACTATTGGGGGTGGGAACGTTGCCATTACTTTGTATATGTGATTTACGCACCTATTTTCTCAGATTCAGAATTCTTTTGTTGCTACCACTTGATTTCCAGTAAAAGATATATTTTCTCTAATTAAAAGAGTCTAAGTATTTCTTTCTTGGATTTTGAATGGAGCATCATCTGACATTTTCGCCTTTATAATTCCTTGTCCTCTGAGATAGAAAACTTTGTTTTCTCTTCACAGACCTAGAACTGACAAGATACAGGACCTGGACAAGTGTGCCAGCTGGTAAGAACTGTACTTGAGATCTATGGGTGGGAGAAGGAATGTCACAGGAACATGTGGAGCATTGGAAGTTGAATGGGTACCATGGGAGTCAGGGAAGGACCCACAGACAGGCACTATATAGCGTGGGCAAGTAGAAAAACAGTCCCTAAATCTAATAGTAACAATGTCAGCCCTGAAGCCATTTCCCCCTGGCACCTTCAGGGCTGTCATAGCGGAGATGAGTGGAGCTGTGGGAACAGAAGGGGGGAGATAGAGATAGCTGGGGGATTGTTGCCAAAATAAAATTCTTTCCTCTGAGAACCAAGGACTTCCCACCAGGTGCAAGGACATGGGATCTGAGACCAACTGACCCTTGGATTGTAACCTGATTGGACCACATGATGGACTGCATGGGCAGGAGAAAGAAAACTTTACTTTTAACTAGGGGGAAACCCAAGGGAGGCTTAGAGTTGGTTAACTGGAACCCTGACAAACAAAGAAATTGGTCTCCAAATTGAAACTGAAACCAGATAGATCAGTTTATTCTATGCAATCACTTGTGAAATCATTGTGTGAGTGACTTCAAATTCTGTCTCAGACACATCAATTCTGAAACAAAATAATTTAATCTGAGCCTGCTGTGTACCATTTTGAAGTTTACAACCAGGGACGGGATTCAAATAATTTAACAACTGGTTCTCTGCCCTAATGACCAGCTAGGTAGGTGTAGCTGGGTGGTCATGTGACTGGCTGGGCATGGCCAACTCGACGTCACTCACATCGAGGGGCGCTTCTGCTCGCCTGGCCTCTCGTGAATATGGGGATGCTGCAATGTCATAAGTGTGAAAAATGGTCATAAGTCACTTTTTTCAGTGCCATTGTAACTTTGAATGGTCACTAAATGAACTGTTGTAAGTCAAGGATTACCTGTACAAAAATACAAAAAAACTTCTTTGCTTGCAAAAAGCTGCCCTAAATACCAATCATTAGATTAAAAATACCTGCAAGCCGGAGTTACAAATCAAGCAGGGTGCCAGAGTACCTTGAGGAATTAAAATAGTTAAAATGCAATGTTAACTATCAGCAGCCAACTCTTGCTCATAAAGTGAAACCCTTTAGCAGAGAGGTCATTTAAACTCTCCAGAAAGAGCACACACAGGAGAAGCAATCCTTAGATTCATTTGCACCACTTAAAGATACCAGCTGGTCTCACTCACCTCACAAGATATCCTAAGGAAATCATCCAGATTTAAGAAAAGATCACATGCCTCACCCAGAAAGGCAGTAAAAAAATCAGTGCCAAGCTTGCATCCTGCCTCTTGGAAGTACAACCCAAAAGAATAGTACCAGGAACCACTAAAGCAGTAAAGGAAGACACACCCCCAATAGAAAAAAGAAACCATGAGGCAGGAAAAAATCCAAACACAATACAAATAAGTAAATCACAACAGTAGCTGTTGCTTGTTAAACCAATTACTAGAACAAATAGACAGGAACTAGCCAGATTTCTCAACCCAGTTTCTTTTCAGGAACAGAGATTCACCTTTTTCCTTCCAAACAAAGCTGAATAGGGAAAATTATCCCATCAATAAACATAGGATTAAATATCACCAAGCACAGAATTAAACTTCACCAAAAACCAGTTTTAGACCAAAACTCAGAAAGGGTATGTAAACTCACATTTGAATGTCAGTCTTTCTAGCTAGCCAAGAAGCCTTGCTAAATGTCACTCATCTTGGTTCCTTGTCATTAAAAGCTTCTTTCTGGCAGCTCTGCTGCGTTATTCAATTATTTCTTCAAAGTGCTGATAGTTGCATCCCAGCTGGAAGAACTCCAACAGGAAAAGTATTTCCTCCCAACAGCAATATAAAAAGCTTAAAACAACCTTCCCCTTTAAGAAAGTCAAGTACCAGCAAAGAAAAAAAAACTCCAGAGAAGCTCAGGCCTCAGGAAGTCTAGGCATACTGTCAAGATTGTAATAAGGGTTAACGGAGAAATGGAGAGGCATTTCTGTAAGCAGGGCAATAAAGATTAGGCTAGAAACAACACCAGAATGTTTCCTGTCTTCATTACAGGATTATCCCTATAAAGTGGAAAAAAACCAAGAGATTTCTTCTAACAACCAGTTCTCCAAACTCCTTAGAAAGTTAATAACAGGTTCTAGCGAATAGGTGAGAACCAGTAGAATCCCACCCTTGTTTAAAACCATTACATACTGTCAGAAGAATAATTTCGGGTTCCAACTCGAATATACAAGAGTAAGTAAAAATGAGATCCAGACAGCTATGAGGAAAATAGAAATATGTATTCCTAAAAGCAAAACAGTTTGCTTGCCTGGGGTGGGAAAGTGTCTACATGGTGAGGTGTGTGTGTGTGTGTGTGTGTATTCTTGTGAATATATAGTTCTATTGGGAGACTTAATTTAATTAACTCTATTTTTGTTTGTAAACCTTATCTTTTAATATGTGGATTAGGTCTCGGTGACTTATTTCAAGTTTGAGGAAGTTTGCTAATTTGATTAATTTGGAGATACTGATTCTCAAGCTGTTGTGGATTCGGTTAATATATTTAAGGCAAAAATGGAAACAGTATAAAGAATAAAATATATTTGGATATAAAATGTCTCACAATACCAAGATGTCCCCTGTGCAATGTATCTATTACTGCCTCCTCTTCTTTTATCTTCACAATTGTGCAAGCTAAGTGAGCTTCATAGGTACCTTTCTCCCTCTGCCTTTCTCTAGAAGATTCCCCTTTTCAGTTCCTTGTTCTCTGAGATAGAAAACTTTGTTTTCTCTTCATAGACCCAGAACTGATAAGACACAGGGCCCAGGCAAGTGGGCCGGCAGGTGAGAACTGTGCTTGAGAGCTATGAGTGGGCAGGTAATGTCACAAGCAAGTGCTAATGGAGCATTGGAGGATGTGGGTGCCATAAGGGGGATAGGGAAGGTGCCAAAGGCAGGCAATATAGAGCATGGGCATGTGGAAAAGCAGGAGTAACTTGCAACTTCCTGCCGGCTGCCCCATTGACGTTGCTTATGAGATGCCAGTAGAGAATGTCAAAAATCGTCATCACATGACTGCAAGGATGCTGCATTAACCACAACTTTACAGGCTGGTTGTGCTTCCCCCCTCTGCTTCGCCCTTTCCTAACTCTGAATAGTTACGGAACAAGTGATTCTAACTTTATTAAGGTTACAAATTTTATGTATTTTTTAAACAAGCAAATTTAAATTCTCTTTCGCTAAATTTATCATGTAGATAAATGTTAAATGGGACATATCAAAAGGATTAGAATTGAAATGGAAGAGAAGACCAATTAGAATATTTTTATAAGAGACTGAAACTGTAAATCTGCATTGGCTTTCTGTTAACCGACAGTTGATTCTACAAGCAGTTTTGATCCAATTGATATTGCCATATTACTGAGATCCATAAGAGATCAGTACAAAGCAGAGTTGGATGGCCATGTGCAGGCAGTTATTGCAGAGGAAAGCGTAACAAAGGTAACTACCTTCCTAAGCATTCTGGACCAAATCCATTAGTTTTAATGTACCATTATCTAATAGAAATTATCTATGTAGATGTACATTTTTCCAGAATACTTTTCTGCTGCCTCATAGATGCAAAACATTTTACATTGGCTACTTTGGACTGTCCTAGTTTGATGTGTTTTATGTTGTTTTTTAAAAATAGTAATTTTGTTGAATGTTACAAATTAACAAAGTACAAACTTTAAAAAAAACAATAAAAAGAAAAACCAAGTTCAGAAAGGAGGCAAAATAAAGAAAGAAAAACAATATAGTAAAAAAGTAAAAATATAAAGAAATAGTTTCCCCTTTTATATTCCATATTCCAAGTATAAACAATTTTAGTAACTCATTACCTTCTCTTAACTACAACAAATGATCTGTTCTTCCTATATGTCATCTCTTATCTATAAAAAAATATTTAAAGCCTTATTATTAGCAGAATTAACAACATACCAACAGTATATAACCTTAATCACATAAAATAAGTTTATATCCCTTCCTTTTACTTTAACAATCTTAATATTTAATCCCTTCAAATAATGTCCTAGAACTTGATTGATTTTCATTTTTTTTCCTCTATCCCTTCTCACAAAATCCTTCAAAACTTAAAAAAAAGTCTCTTTTGTAAATTTCATATAGGGATATACATACCCAAGTCACTCTTTTGGTTTGTTATTTGTATATCCCCCTTAATTATTAAGAGATCACAATTTCACTTGCACGTTTGGTCTAGTAGTTAAGGTGCAGGAGACTGTGAATTCCACTCCTGTGTTATAGGCATGGAAGACAGCTGGGTGACCTTGAGCCAGTCATTCTCTCTCAGCCCAACTCAATTCACAGGGTGGTTGTTGTAGGGAAAATAGGAGATAAAAAGAGTCTTATGTATCAACCACCTTGAGTTATTTATAAAAGTAAAAACAGAATCTTAACAAAATAACAGAGTTGGAACTTGGAGGGGACTTTGGAAGTCTTTTATTCCAACCCCCTGCTCACACCATTTCAGAGAAATAGTTGTTCAATTTCTTTAAAAATTCCAGTGTTGGAGCATTCACAACTTCAGGAGGCAAGTTGTTGCACTGATTAGTTGTTCTAACTGTCAGGAAATTTCTCCTTAGTTCTAGATTATGTCTCTCCTTGATTGGTTTACATCATTTCTTGTCCTGCTCTCAGGTGCTTTGGAGAGTAGCTTGACTACCTCTGTGTGGCAATCCCTGAGATGTTGGAACACTGATATCATGTCACTCTAGTCCTTCTTTTCATCAGACTAGTCATACCCAGTTCCAGCAACCGTCTTTTATATCTTTTAGCCTTCGGTCCCCTAATCATCTTTGTTGCTCTTCTCTGCACTCTTTGTAGTATCTCAACATCTTTTTTATATCATGGAAACCAAAACTGGATGCAGTACTCCAAGTGCTACCTTACCAAAGCATTATAAAGTGGTATTTTCTTCACCATTGATTTTCATTTTGTTAGAAAGCGCCCAATGTTCAAGTATGTCAAGATCCTTCTATTCCTGCCAGCTTGGTGTCATCTGCAAATTTGATGAGTTCTCCATCTATCCCCTCATCCAAATCATTGATGAAGGTGTTGAAGAATACTGGGACTAAAACTGAGCCTTGAGGTACCCCATTGTATATTTCCCTCCATATAAATGCAGTTCCATAGAGGACTACACATTGAATGTAGTTGGTCAGCCAATTACAAATCCATCTGGTGGTAATGCTGTTTAACCCACATTTTTCTATCTTATCAAGTAGTCCACTAATTTTGTTACTTTATCAAAGAATGCAATAAGATTTGTCTGGTATGATCTGTTTTTGACAAACCCATGTTGGCCTTTGGTTATGACTTTGTTTGTCTCTAGCTGTTCACAGATTCATTTCTTGATCATCTTTTCCAGAATCTTCCCAGGTATTGAGGTCAGTCTGTAGTTTCCTGAATCTGTTTTTTTCTTTTTTTTGAAGATGGGAACTACATCCGTTCTTTTCCAGTCCTCTAATAGTTCCTGGTGCTCCAGGATCTTTGACAGATATAGTTCAGTGGTTCTGAGATCACGTCTGCCAATTCCTCCAGAACCTTAGAATGTAATCCATCTGGTCCTGGTGATTTGAACTCATCTAGGGTGGACAGGTGCTCACTTACCATTTTCTTGCCTACTTTAATTTGTATTCCTAATCTTTTTTATGGTACTGTTTTTGATTGGTTGGACTTTTTTCCTTTTATGTAGACAGATGCAAAAAATGAGTTAAGCAGTTCTGTCTTTTCTCAGTTGCTTGCCACCTTTTCCCATTAATGAACCAATCATTTCCTTAACTTTTTTCTTGTTTTGTACAAGAAGCTGAAAGAAGCTTCTTGTTGTTGTTGTTGTTGTTGTTGTTGTTGTTGTTGTTGTTGTTATTTTTACTTTTGTTGCAAGCCTTAGTTCATTTTGAGCCTTAGCTTTGCCCACTTCATCATTGTAGGCTCTGGCTATTTGCAGATATTTTGCCTTACTTATATTCCCCTCTTTCCACTTTTTATACTTATCCTTTTCATCTTTCAATTTATCCGAGAGTTCTTTATGTAGCCATGCTGATTTCTTTTGAGAACTGTTATTTTTATCCCTTTGGAATTGTGCTAGACTGGTCTTTTATAATGTCACTTTTCAAAGTTTCCCAAGCTTCTTGGGTTGTTTTCCCCTTGAGGATTCTCATCCATAGAATCTTTCCCAAGCTCTAAGTTTATTAAAATTGGCTCTTTTAAAGTCCAAGGCTCTAGTTTGGCTTTGTTCTATTGCATGTACTTGCATAATGTTGAATTCCAATATTGCACCCTGTAGCTTCAACACTTTCTATCATTTCACCTCTGTTAGTGAGAATTAAGTCCAATATGGCTGATCTCCTAGTTCCTTTCTCTACTTTTTGGGAGACAAAGTTGTTGGCTACGTTTGTCAGGAACCTGTTTGATCTTCCACTTGGTGCAGTTTGTCTCCCAGTTGATGTCAGAGTAGTTAAAGTCCCCCATTACTATTGTGATGTGCTTCCTACATGCCTAGTCAGTTAACTGATTAGCAAAAAGTTCATCTATTTCTTCTATTTGGTTGGGTGGCCTGTAGTATACACCTATGGCAGTGTCATTTCCCCCTTTTATATTGACCCAAATGCATTCAAGTCAGTTTTCATAATTGTTGTGTAGAGATGTAGTTATTTCTTATATGTAGTGCAAGTCCACCTCCTCCACCTATTTGGTCTGTTTCTTTCAAATAATTTAAATCCCTCTACCTATATATTCTATTTGTGGGTTTTATCTCACCAAGTTTCCATAATGGCAACAATATCATATCTGCCCTCATTTATAATTTGTAATTTACCCTGTTTATTTCTCATACTCTCTGCATTGGTGTATAGGCATGAGTCCTTTTTGACTGATCCTATGTTTACTTTCTACATAACCTCACTATTAAAAGGTGAGATATAAAGAAAAAAAAAACCAAATATCCAGTGTAGCAACTTTTTCCATATCTCTTATAGCATGTCATTTTTAAATCCCCTTGCAAACCAGTCTCAGCCTTGCCTGATAAAATTTGTTCCTCTTCCATAATATCTTTTAAACAAAGCCTTTCTATAATGGCAGAGATTTTAAAATTAACCCCTGGTCCCTTGTTCACAAATATTCTTCAATTTGGCCAATGTTAAAATATTTTTCTCCATTCTGTATTAGTAAATCAAATGTAACTGTTTTTTCTCCTTTATTTGGTTCCTTCTAGTTCCCTCTAGTGACCAATTTTCAAAGCACCATCCTATCGTTTCTTAAAGAGTTCAAAATTCTTTCTTTCCCATGGAAATGAGTCTTATAATCAATTTCAAAGATTGAAAGAGCCTTAGTCATTGCTCTAAAACTTATCACTGTGAAGCGTCCTAATAGCTAAAAAGCAGTTAAGCAATTTCCAAAAGTGATGAAGAAATGAGATTCAGTGAGCCATATGTCCATTTTCACATGTGTCAAACTCGCTCGTCATGTTGCCATGTGACATTTCACGATGTTTTTCTCCTTCATGGAACTGGGGTGGGCATGGCCTGCGTGCGACACATCTGGCCTGGGGGCCACCAGTTTGACACTCCTGAATAGACTATATTGCAACTAGATTGAACCTTTTCTTTTTCCAGAGAGATTTCATTAGCCAGAATTCACCATCTGACCACCAATCTCCATTGCAATTCTATTCCAGCTCCTCTAGGATTGTGAATCTTTACAGGAAGTTTTACTTTATGCTGGTTTCATATCTATTCTGTTACATTTTCAAGAGCAGTACAGTGATTAGAGCTATGTGGGGTCTATTTAGACCAACAGATTAATATAACAAACAATAATTATAGGATTCAAGGCACTGCAGTTGCCACTTATATCCCTTTTCTTTCATCTTATTTTATTTCTTTCAATTCTTCTTTCACTATTTTTCATTCCCTTGTTATTTTAGGCACTAATAAAAATAATGCTGTGTATCCTCTGATTTCTTTGTCCATAATCCTTGTAGCTTCATTTTTATTATCTAATGATTAGCTTTAGTCAGGAATAGTATCAAAACCAAGGCAAGAAAGTCAAATGATTCAGTATAGAATTGAAGAGAGGTAGATGATTGTATCAAGATCTCATGTCAAGCTTTGACATCACTATTTAATATAATGATTTAATATAATGATGATTTATTATTTAATATAATGATGAGGAGCTTCATTACTTCATCCTTCATGAAGATTTTTAAGAAGAGATTGGACTGCCATTTGTCAGAAATGGTGTAGGGTCTCCTGCTTGGGTGGGGGGTTGGATTAGATGACCTACAAGGTCCCTTCCAACTCTGTTAATCTGTAATATTTGCTTGTTTCTTCAGCAGCTCTTGATCTTCATCTATTTTACCAAGAAGTGACTGGTTGGTTCATGAAACTTAGACTATTCTAAGCTTTAATTGAAATATTTTAAGTGTTATGATCGTCTATTTTGTTGCATAAGTTGAACAAAACAGATCTTTGATTCTATTAATAAATGTTTGATACAAATTTTAAGGTGAACCAAGCTGTTCCCCACCATAAATTCATGTTATCTTACAATAGTTGCATTTTATTTAAAAAATATTCACTCTATGTTTACAGATAAAGAAATTTGGAGAAGTAACAGAATCTCTCAGCAGGAATTGGATCAGTCAAACTCCTGGGCTAGAGTCTGAAAGAGCTTTTCTAGCTGCTGCTGTGAAGTTGTTTGAGAAACTTATAAAGAAAACTCATAGAGATAAGGGCCAGATAAACATACTCACAGAAACAATCAATGGAAATCCTGAAATGAGAGGCTATGTTGAAAGACAGGGTGGTTGGGTAAGTTAAATTAATGTTTAACTGTGACTTAGCACTTAGGTGATTGCATTCAAGGCCAACTTTCAAAAGCTCAGAAAACAGAAAAAAAATAACCAGCAGAATAACATGAATTACTATGTCATTAATTCCAGTGAATAAAATTATCAGTCAACAATCTGGAAACACTACATGAAACAAATTCAATGTCCTATTTTAAAGATTTATTCCTCAGTTTTAACTGAAATATTTCTAACTGTAAAACAATCTGCACTAATACAAAATGATCCACTCCTTTCTACATGCACATAAGTACAGAGTCCCTTATGTCCTTAATCATGGATGTCACTAATCTACAATTCCCAAACAACAAGCAGAAGGAGTTGATTGCTCAAGACAGGCAGGCAAGTTGCTTTCATATTTAATAGATGGGACCATATCCTTATCTTGTGCATAAGTATTGAGTTAAAGTATGGAGGCAAATGCAGTGGCATCTACTGATGTCATCTTCAGGTCTTAAATCAAAATCCCAATGTGTTTCACAACAATGGATTCAGGATCTTTACTATATACTTTTGAGAAAGATCATTTATTGCTCCTTCCACCCTTATTTGATTAGCAATATTTTTCTTTCTTTTTTTTTTTTTTTAGGGTAATCTTGGAAGAAGTCTAAACAGCCCATAGTTTCTTGCTTCCAATGTAAAAGACTCATCTGCTATTTTGGAGGAAATAGAGCTGGAGAGTTGCTTCAAATCTGAAATGGAACTGCAAATGAATTGAAAAGGCAATTCTGTGAAGAAACAAAATAAATTTAATTAATTTAAAAAGAAACTCATAATAGCTTGGCTATCCTTGTAATTAAATTGTCAGTCAAGGAATTGGATAGATAATTCCTGCAGCCACAATTCCACACAATACATTGCACCAATTTACAGTCCCTTGCTTTAGTAGATCATCAATTCCTTGGTCCTAGTTATTAATATATTCCTGTTTCATACAAAGGAAATGTCTATATTTGGGAAGACTGGAGCCTTACTTGCATCTTAATTTCCTGAGTTGTTAGTTGGTGTCACTTTTCTATATATAAACATTTGCAGGATAAAATATCTCAGAAAAAAATTGTAAAGCATATTAGAAAGCTTTAACTAACCATATTGGTATGTGAAGAAGATAGTTACAAATACCTAAGAATAAGAAAGACAGAAGAAATATGGGTTATTAAAGTTCAAGACTGTAATATATGCCTTATCTGGAAATTTACCTCATCTGAACCAAATAACAATGGTTTCCCCTCACTGTACTACTCTGATATAACCTATATTGCTCAGGTGTAGTATCTACATATAGTTATATGGTATAATTGAATTGGAAATTTAAATTACTTAGCAGTAACTGGTATTAAGCATTCTGCTGTCAGCATTCCAAAGATTATCCATTCCAGCCAGTAACTCCAAGACAAACATAATCTCAAAGTACTTTTATTAGAATAGAACTTGGCACATCTGTGGAATTCTGAAAGTAAGTTTTCCCCCCACTTCCCACAATGACCCAACCTACAACCTTCCCCCTTTCCCCCCCATTATACATCACATGAACCAATCCCCCTTCAGTTCCAATTCTCCCTGCGCCATTCACAATGACCTTGAATTACTAAAGCGTTTATTTTGTCTACTGAAAGCTACTCAAATAATATCAGCCCCCTCCATATCTCCGCAGTTATGTGGCAGCTTTTAATAATGATTCCAAAGCTGACATCTACCTTATTGAGAGTTATACAATGTTTTCTAAATCTCATGTGCATGTTTTAATTCAGAGCAAAGCCTTAGAAAGAAAAAGCTGGCTATCCCCGTTGCCTTGTGGCTGAGAATCACATCCCATTGAAAGGATTAATTAGGCTCTTTGAAGCCTTTTATAGACAACATTATTTTGGCAAATTAGTTCCAAAGTCTAAGAAAGGTAGAAAAGCTCTATTGTCATTAGGTTTCTTCTGGACCATGAGGAACACAGCTGCTGCTTCTTTGCAGGCAGGAAAAAGGCTTTTCTCACTGGTATAGCAGAGCTGCTCTCCTTGAAAATAAACAGGTGCAGGAGCCTATTTCATTTGCAGTTTAATTGTACTAAAAGTTTTGGCACTCTCTTGTGAAATCAGAAAGCTGGGGTGTGAAAGAGGACTTTGGAGAAAGCAGTCTGTTGCCTGGAGAAGGGTGAACATTATTAACTATTCAAAAATAAATCAGTACAAAACTAGGGAAATGTATAAAGAAATGTGAAAAGTGAAGAGGGAAAAAGAAAAAAACAGTGGGAGAGAAAAAGGGAACATATAAAAATTAAAAAAGAAAAGTATAGAAAGAAATGACTCTCCATCACAAGTACAAATGTTTTCAGCAACTTAATACCTTCTTTAATATTTCAGTCAAAAATCTCTTCATCGCAAATCTCATCCTCTAAATAATAAACCCTCTGAATGATGAATATTATTTGTTAATAGATAAAAGATGAGATCTTATGCAGCAGCAGTTGATTAAGACATCAGAAATAACATACACATTTTAACTTAAAATAATTTCATACTTTTTTCATTCACTTTGTACAGTATGTTGTCATTTTCTCTAAAGATACAAAGGAAAAAAACTTTTCATAATTTATTTGATATCTATAAATAGCTTTTACATGACTCTTCGGAAACAACATATTAATTTTAACCCTTTGAAATGATATCCCACAAATTAATTTATCACTTTCTCTAAAAATGCAACACCTTATTCCCATATCTTACCTATTAGCAAATCTTTAAAGCTTCATCATTCAGTCCTAAATCAAGAATAATCAATTAAAAGCTTCTGGAGAAAACAAAAAAGAATCATACAGATTTTAACCTTGGTTGAATTAACCCAACTTTGTACACATTCATTTTACTTTTAAAAACCTTGATGGTTATTCCTTGTAAGTAATATCCCAAAAACTGATTTATAGGATTTTCTTCATAAGTATAACACATTTCTTTTATAAATCCAAAGTAAGAAAATTGTCCAACTCACTTTTCTGAGTTAAAATTAAATATTTCTGATTGCCTATAGCACGGGTGTCAAACTCAAGGCACATGGGCCAAATCTGGCTCATGAGGTGTTTAGATCTGGCCTGCAGAGCCACCCTGGAAACAGCGAAGGACTGGCCTGAAGTGCTTCTGCCAGCGAAAACAGAGCTTGGGAGGGCTGCTGGTAGAGCGCTCGGGCCACCACAGGCACCCCCAACACGAGTGTGATGTTGAGATGGCCACACCCACCCTGGCCATGCCCACTCGGCCCCCCAAGGTCAAACAACCCTGATGCGGCCCTCAATGAAATCGAGTGTGACACCCCTGGCCTATAGTAACCACTGTCTCCTGTTATCATGTTTTTCTTTCGTTCACAACATTTTCCCAGGAAACAATTTCTTAAACTCAAAATCTTTATATATTTTAATAAAATTTTAAACAAACCACAGCAGGTATCTTTTTGTGTTTCAAAATTTTCTTTTCAGTCAATCTGACCCCTTTAGTCAATTTAAAAGCTTTCCAAAATCAACATTGTAATTATTCTTTTTTTTTATTTCCAAATTAATTTTTTTATTTCCAAAATATAGCTATTGTTATAGAGAACATCTGTTGGAAGCACTATGAGCAATCCCAAAACTTCTCCTTAATCTAGAGAGGAGTTTGGGGAGCCAATCCATTCACTGGTTGCAGTTTCCACTATGGCTACTGGCTCCACTAAAAGTGAAGTTGTCTTCAGTCTTCCATTGCTTCCCCGGAAATGCCTCTCAGAAGGCAATGCTCAGAAGGCATTGAAGACCTGTTTATATCCCTGGGCCTGGGGTCCTAAGAGTGTGAAGGCTTCTGTTTCCTGGTTATGTTAACATCTAAGGATTATAATATTTCTCAACTGTGATAAGCACAATATATTCACTCATTCAGGCAGGTAATACATTTAAATAAAAAATATGTCTAGAAGTTCAAGTAGATAACAGTGCTGAGCCAAGCTTAGCTGATCTCTAAAGGCAATGCAGGAGAACTCCCCGTTAGAAGTTGGATGGGTTAGTATCAAGAAACAGGAACAACAAGGATTGTCCTTAGGATACTTTTTTTTTTTTTTGGGGGGGGGGGGGGAGGCATTAGCAGATAAGTTTCACATTGTTGTCAATAAAGCCTACATATCGGTAGATGGATTCATAAAGTTGTTAGGGGTCAAGATTAAGTTGAAGGGGACTTATGGAAGATTTATAGTATGCATCTAGAGTAACTGAAAGAATTGTTGACAAAAATTGAATATCTGTTTAATGAAAGATATTACTGCTGTGGCAATGACATGAAAATGCCTTGGAGTCCAAAGGCCATGCATATGATATCACATATCAAATTCTACTTCCTTTTACTCAACTGAATATCTTGAATGGTAGAAGAGAAAGCATCGGTGGACTTGATAGTCTGAATGCTTCTGGTAATTAATATTTTGTAGTTATCACAGATGAAAATATCTTAAAACAGTGGTGGTGGGACTACAGATGTATCACAGAAAATATAAATCATTTTACTTTGTAAATTGTTTCCTGTTCTGACTTCTAAATGAAGAAAGTTGCTGGAGACTTTTTATGTTCAATCTCTTCTAGACAACAGAAGAAACAATTATTAGAAAAATAAGTTTGAAATACATACCTGAAGATGAACAACTCAGTGACATTTGAAGAACAAACAGAACAAATTGTGGAAGCCTTGTTTACTAAATTTTGCTCAAAGAAGTTACAAGTAACTGGTCGATGCCTGCAGCTCCAGTCTGAAACTCCAGCCCATGAACAAGGTAAAAGGGTTTATTTCTAAAGTGAGTTGTGACCAGGGAGGGGGTGGCTTTGTATTTCCAAAATTTTGAAATCAGGACCAACTGCTGGATCTTACTTCAAGTAAAAAAAATATGGTTGCTATCCATACTGATTCTTGTTAGAGACCAAAACTAGTTTCTTTAGGTCCTAGTGCATCAGTTACATTTAAATAAATATTTAAAATTCCAAACTAAGATTTTAAAAAATTCTTGCATTTAAGAAGCAAGAACTTGCTTCTTAATTCTGAACTATGTTCATAACATCAAAAACTCCATCCTTAAGGCATAATAATACTCCAAAACAAAGTTTTAAAATTGAATAGTTCTGTTTTAAATTTACAGTTGATTAATTAAAACATTATTTGGTTTTGGTAAAAGAATTCTCTGAGTCCCTTTTCCAAATCAGGATATCACAAATGAGATGCAAGGCAGGCTGCTGGTAGAAAGGAAGTGATCTGTTTATTCTCAGAAGAGGAGTACCTCTTTGGGTTACGCTAGAGGATGGGTTGCTTGGAACAGTCCTTGAGTTTTCAAAATCCTAAACTGCTAAACTCTTGATTCAGTAGAAGATAAGATATATATGATAATGATATATGATATATAGTATAATTATTAATATAGAGTCCAGAGTTCAACTTGATGTGGCTCAAGATTGACTTTTTCTGTTTTGTTTACCTGTTTTGTATTTTATTCCAATTTATAAAACATAATAAATGTATACATGAAGAAGATTGACTCAGCCTTCCATCCTTCCAAGCTCAATAAAAGTCTGTTGCTGACATTGATGGCCAGAGTACTATATAAAGCACTATGGAGTGATATATAAGTCTAAATGCTATTG